GGAAGAGTCTGATATGTTGCTCTGCTAGTCCCAATAGTTGCTGTGTGACTAGTGTTATCTACATCCGATAAAAGAAGTCAACAGAGCTCAAAAGAAATGAAAAGTATATACAATTATGAACCCCTAGTCTAGGCGGCAGGCAGAGAGCTATTAATTACAGATGCTTACTTACGAATGAAAAGTCTAAACGATCACAATGTGATCGGGTCCCAGTGGGTCCCATGGAATGAGTTAAGATCACCAGAGCTTGTTCTACAAAATAGATGGGAAATATCCACAACCTTGAATATTCTTGAAGAGTACATTCTATTGGACGGGTACACAGAAAGATAAAACAAATGATCAAACGACTTCCGAAGAATGCATAGAGAGAAGTAAGCACTGCATTGACGATTGCCCTGCCGTTGGAGGAGTAGGTAAAGCATTCTCGGAACACGTGGAATCACTAAGATCTCCAGCTATATCCAAATAGGCTCTCTTGGTGGCTAACGGCCGGCAACCACATCAGCACAACCAAACCTAAGCCATAATTATATTCATTATTTATTTTTGTAAGCTACAAACAAATAAAAATAGCAAAAAAGGAAAGCAATAGATTGCGTACAATACTGCCGTGGTCCATAAATTTAATTTTTTGGTGAATTTTGCCTGGCTGTCGATTCTTCTTTACTGGCAGTCATTTGCGTTTATTTATTTTGACTGCAAACTTTTTTCTATGAAATCGGTGCAGCCGAGCATTTATTGTTTTTATTGAGTGCTAAACTGAATAGGCCAGACATGTGAGCCAATTCCGAGTTGTAAAGAATGGTGTCAAATAACATCGCCATATGCGAATTCAAGCGTAAGCAAATTTTAGATTTGTTTGTATGTACTTTTTACAGAGAATAATGCATGAAACAAAATTTCTAAAATAATTTTGATTTTTTATAGGTAATATATATGAAAAAGCATACATATTGTAGAAATATTCAATAGATTTAATTTATTTTAAAATTATTAAACAGATTCCGAAACCTGATTAATATAAGGAACACTTGCTAACATTTAATTTCCCATTCTGGCATAAATTCTTTCACTTTTAATTCAGTGCTATTTTTGTTAATTTACTTATTATTTGTTATTTTATGTCTTATATTTATTATTTGTTTTTTTTTTCTTAATATGGTTTCCAATTATTTTTTACCTGTTTTCGTAACCTCGACAGTATATTTTCTATTAACACTCGTATTTCTGTGTGCATTTCCTCTGCTTCTCTGAACCTTAGTCTGCTTTCAGGCGCAGGAAATCATTCGCGCATTTAATTGAGCTGTTAGCCAGATTATTTCGGCGTTGTTTTGACAAAGATTTAGATGAATATTTTACATGCATATTTTGTATAAAAATAAAATGTAGAAAAATTTATATTTCTTTTTACTGAAACTGATTTTTATTTACCTGCATACATTAAATTGAGTGACATAAATATTACAAGTTACGAGAAATTGATATTTGGTAAAAATTACAAGAAATGTAAAGAAATATATTCAAATAAATTCGCGGCAAAAGAATTTCTTTAAATAAACAAATATATAAATTGTCTAAAAAAGTAATCAAGAAAATTATTTATCAAAATCTCACCAAAATGTATATGTGTATATATTTTACGGTGTTTTTGTTGATTTATTTTTTTGCGATATGTGAAGAAGTAAACAAGGGCATATATGTATTATTCCACTGAAGGAAAAAAATAATAATAAATATAAATTGACTCGCCGACGTAGACGACAAGAAAATATTTGTTTACCGGCGGTAAGACGCTAAATTATTTGTGGCTTCGTGGCATAGTCATGAGCACACAAGAATGCCGCTGCTATAAATTTAATGCCAAATTAAACAAAACGTCTGGGATTTAAGGCGGAATTTATGCTGAATTTATATACTCATGGTTGGTTGACTTTCGCTGACTACTAGAATTATATTTGACTCTGGCATATAATATACTCGTATGTAAGTATGAGCGGCAGTTGAAACTAAAAATATAAGAATTTCTTAAATTAGTAATAATTTAAGAATATTAAATAGTGTTTCGTTTAATTGAAAGCTTGAAACAGAGACCACAATTTTAAATTAAAGAAAATTCGCTAAGGAAAAAAGTTATTTTGGCTAAGTTCGTAGTAAATATTTCGCTAGGATATAAATTAAATTTCTTCAAATTCTGCTCATTTTATTACTGGAACATTATGTATTACGGAAATTTAAAATTTAACTTTTAACGCTCACAACACCACTTCCGCTGCTACCCTATTTGTCCCAACTGCACTAATCTGTCACACCTGTCACCGCGTGGTGCCTTCGTCAACGAAATGCCTACACGGCATTCTTATACTAACATACATATATACTTACACAGAAAAATACCCAATAGGCGTGACCTCAATCTATAAGCAAATTTGCTTTAATTTAAACATGTCAGATTGCTTTGTCGATAAATCAAAATTAGTAAAAATAACTCATACGCCATGGCGTGTCCCAAAAGAGGCACGAATGAAAATAGTACAAATACTTAGTTATATGCACAAAATGCGCACTTAAAACTTAGATGTACATACATATCTAAAAATAAGTTTTGCGTTGGAAAAATCTATATATTATATATATACATATACATTGATATACATTTATCGTAGGCGCGTATTGAAGGCGTATGTAAGTGGGAGTAACTAACTTGAGTCATGTAAAAAGAAAATCAATACAATGGAAGCACTTTTTATATTATATACTTGTATTGTAACAAATAACGTAATAACGTCTATAATATATATACATCCATATAAATTTACATATTTTATTTGCCTTATATTTTCGTCCTTTGTACTCCCTATGAAGGCATTCAAATTCAAAACAATCAACCGCAAGCTTTTAACAATATAATTCATACAAATGTATGGTATATATGTGTGTAAACAAATAACCGTACGTACACTTGACTACAAAATAGCTTTCAATGTGCACTTATACTCTTGCGCTATATTTCGGGTGTGTGTGTGGGTGTGTGTTCATTGCTTTGCACTTCCATATATTCTTACTTTTCTGACTTTGCTTTCACTTGTAAAGGCATTTTACTTTTATGGCAAATAAGCAATCCTTTCTAACGCATCGCCTTTGTCGTTTGACTCGTGCACGTCCTCGTCCTCATACACATCGTCTTCATCATGATCGTCATCGTCGTTATCCTTTCATACACAACGCTTCAATTGCTTTTTATGGCAAATCAAAAAAGCCTTCTTTCAAATCAAAACGCACAAAGAAATAAAGAAGTGTTGAACAAATTCCAATGGCTATAAATATGATGAGGTTGATGGCGATGGCAGAGGCGATGGCGTTGATTATGATGTAAGCCTTGTAGAGCTTATGCATATATTTCACTTAATATGTATGTAGCATTCAAATCGATGAAGCCTATTTCAGTCAAAAGGTAGCTGATTCTTTTCATACTTACTAATGCAAGTTCTTGCTTATGTGAACACACCTCTTATTATATTATCAATGGAAATGGATTAAATGAAATTTATTTGCATATTTTAGTAGGCTTTCCGAAGCAAGGAAATCATATAGAAATTTTTGTATTTATATTTATCGGTTTAGTTTATGCAGAAGTCAACAAGTGTATTCGCACTATGCAAAGAATTTCGATATTTCTGAGGTAAAATGTGCATGTGAGAGTTTTCCATAAAGCCCAACAGCCTAGACTTTCTTTTTCTATATTTCATTAAAAATATTTATTAAAATGTTCAAAGTTCGCCTTAAAAACTTTCAAAATTTTGTGCAGTGATTCCGCACATTCTGAGTGAGCTTGAGCTAGATGATGGAACCCACCTCATTCATATATGGCTGGCTCATTCTGTTTTATCTGCCTACCAATTTTTTTTTTTAACATTTTCATTGGTGAGGGCCTTTTTGGCTGAAAAGTCGATATTAATTTCGCGATTCCTGTCATTAGTCTTATCACATTGGCTTGAATTTCTATTTTCCTTTAAGATTGTTCCCATGAAAAAAATAAAATAAAATAGAATTCTGAGCTGGAAGGCGGACAGCTGACAACGCCGTTTCGGCTAAATTCCAGAAGTTAGTGCACAAAGGGCAAAAGATCGATTGTAACGTTGACTGTGTGGCACATAGCGCACTCTCAAAATAGTGCTGTTGAAAACACATATTGTCCATATACCTTTTTTGACACAAACATTCTCTGAGCTTGACATAGTAATGATCGGAATTGACGGTAATTGCAGCACCTTTCTTGCTACAATAAAGCCGCTGTCCACATGCCACATTAAGCAGTCACTCATTGGGCATGGTTTGGATTTTTTACGTGTGTTTTCCGTATCCTAGTTTTAAATAAGCTAACATGTGAAAGATAATTTTTCGGTGAAAATGCAGATTATATGGCTGATGTTGGCTCAGTGGTAGAACACTCGCCTGTTAAGTCAGGATCCGTTGGTTCGATCCCTGCCATAAGAAGTCTGATGAGGAGATGTGATGATCTCCGAAACAGCTGTCACTTCTACCATTTTTCCTTTAATGTATAACAAATATTCAATTCATACAAACAACAAGGCCTCGTAGTTTACTTAATAAAAATTAAAAATGCTCATTGTTTGCCCAGCAATTTTCAGCCCAAATATCCTCGGAAGCTCAAAGAGGTACACCTCTTGTTTTTCGCTTTACACTCTGCTGAAATAGCGCGTAAAGAAGTGAAGGGTTAATGTTGACGAGCTCATTTAAAGCAAAAATAGTACTACTTTCCTCTGAGCTCACTGGAGGTGCGCATGCTTTAGTTGCTTTACTCGATATTGTACCCGTTGGGCACTCCGCTGCGCCAACTAATCCTACAAATTGCATAGAAAGCGAGTTATATCAGCCGAGTTTTGTTACAATTTTCTGGCTGTTAATTTTAAACATCGCTAAGGACTTATTAATTAACAAAAAATGCTAAATTTTATTTGATTTTTTTTTTTTTGCAGATTCTCGGCCACGCATGATATAACACGAGGTAAGCTAGAAAACACTTATAGATGTTCTAGATAGAGTTACCATGCTTTAATCTTTGTTAATGCTTTCTTTTAAATGACATGCTTATGGTATATATGTACGGAAATCGAAAAATTCATCAAGCGGAATGTTAAAAAGTGAAATGAAAGAATATTTTTTTCTTTGTTAACTGTCAACATCATTGTATGCAGACTAATATCTCGTGAATTGTCAATACTTTTTAATCCAACAAAAAATAAATTTTGTTTCATTGAAACAAAAGGAAAAAACAATAATTATCTCCCGCTCCCTACCTCATCTTCGTCATCTGTATTTTATGTTCTTTTAAATTTTAAAATTCTCAGCTCCCGTTTCATGATGACAAGGAGGGTAAATCAACGATAGAAGGAAAGCAAATTGCTAAAAAATTAAAATTGAGACTTCACTTTTGTGCAGTACAACTTCTCTTCAAAGTTGCGCATGCATGAAACTTTAATCTTTCTTAGTGGCATCCTTTTTCTATATATTCTATTTCAGCTTTAAAAACAAGGCTTACTCCTCTTGAAGGATCTATTATTCTTTTTATTTCAGTGTAGCGGAAGCCAGTTATTTCCTACATGATCCTTCCCCCCTTACGCTTCTATCAGCGAGTACATCATTTAGTCATTTAAAATTTGATCGTTTATCATTGTTCCATAAAACATATTCCAGTCAGCGTAGTTGCTGTATATCTTTATTGAGTTTAGTTTCGTGAATCACATTATTTATCATCGGTGGTAGCCACCTTTATTTGCTATTGCTCTTTCGAGAATAAGTCGCGTCAGCCAATTCACGCCAATCGCTCCTTTCCCTTAGCTGTTTGTGCCAAATTGTCGACAACTAGCAAAAGTAAGTCCTTATCGTTCCATCGTATTTCATTGTTCGTCATTGAAAGTGTGTTAAGGTCCGGAAATTATACCCAAAATCTTTTTCTTAAAAACCTTGAGCTCCGTTTGGTAATGAGCGTTTATGGTATTGTTTGCACTGCCGTTAAGTTTTGCTGGAGTATAAAATTCGGGCTGAGCGGTGAAAAAAGAGCTCCTTTTCGTGCTATCAAACGCAGCTTTAAAATCGGCCAGTGGTAGGTTGTATTGATACTGATGCACGCAATTAGTCAGCTCATCATTACAGTATTTGAACACCGCAGGCGATTATCCGCCGGTTTACTGATCTTCAAGCTATCAATCGCTGTACGAGCCTTTTTTTGTTCACCCTCCAGACGATTTTTAAGAGCTACAACGTTTTCTCTTCACGCGTTGCGCTTTCTACCAGAAATATTATGGGAAACTATACAACTAATAGTAAAAATTTGAAGTCTTAATGTAGTCTCGAATAAATTTGCCTTTACCTTTTTGTCTTTTTTAACATTATTTTGCTAAAAGCTCGGAAATGCCTTATCGATGGAATGTCAATTAAGTTTGAGCTGCGGACAAGGTTTCACATTCAAGTTATGTAAACACAACCATGTGAGTATATATATGGCCATTAGGCTGTCGTTGGCGGTGTCAAGGCACCAACTGCCACCAACTGCCACCACGTAAGTGTGTGCGTGTGCGTGTGTTGACTGGTTGGCAAGGATCAGTCGTGTTGGCGTGTTTATCATTTAAGGATAATGTCGATGTCGACAACATTACCGCATTACGTAAACATAGACACAAATAAACTCGCACACGCACACACACACACACACATCCAAAAGCAAATAAACAAACGCGCCGCACACCGCAGCAGCAATTGCCTATTTGCATGCATAAAGTACATACATATATACACGTATGTACATGTATAAGGCTACTCAAACGCTTTGGCTTGGCGAGTTCGCCTGTCTATTGCTTATCTATGCTCTTGTGTATGTATGTGTGTATGCGTGTCTGCTCAACGCATTGTGTGTGCTCATATGCAAATTTATGAGCCAATTGCTCGAGACTACTTGCCAACCTTTGTGCGTGCATTCAGTTGTTGTTGTTGATGTTGTTTACAAACCCAAATACATGTTATTATACGCAACACGCAGCTACACTTATAGCTCGTTATTTGTGTACATGTGTGGGTTTGTGTGTGCGTGTCTGGTATTTATGTGTTTTTATGTAGTTGTTAGCCACAGCCGGTGCGTTGCGTTGCGTGTAGCAAACAAAAACAAAAAGCCTGAAATGAGAAGTTGTTGCATACATTCAAACACACATATATATGTTCTAACATATCTACATACTCGTATATCCATAGATATTCCCACATATCGGTGTCTGCTTTGTGGGCGTGCCAGCATTTTGTGTCTGTCCAAAACAGACACGTACGAATCTTTCGGATATTTGTTGCGCAACCTAAAAATGGAATAACAATAACGGTGCTATAAAGAAATTTACTTAAACTCACAATGCTGTGAGTTTATTTGTCAAGTTTTATGTGACAAGTAAATACATTTGTATTTATGCTGTTCTATGTAAATATGCGACCATTATCAATGGCATTTATCAGTTTGCCTACTTTGTATGCGGATCACAAGCCAGGAAGCATTTAATATTTGCTGTTGCAGCGTATAAATTTATTGTGGTGAAAATTATGTGTAACATAATATACAAATATATACATACATAGGTGTCTGAAATTTTAATGAAATTTGCCTTTGTTTTACATTATCAGTAATTTACACAAATACTCGTATATATATATATATATACATATTTTTGGTTATATTGATGATGTTCAAGGAACTTATTTTGTAGTCCTTCGATTTCGAAGATTTTGTGCTGGAATTTGGTCGTAATTCACCAAAATTTCAAGTCTGAAAAAGGATCGTATCTACGATCCGATCTGACATTCTACGACCGATGATCTTTTACATGTGAGAGTGCAATTGTCAGGCAAGGCTGGTTGAAAGCTTTTCCATATGTTTTTCCTTTGGATAGTTGCAGCTCCTCTACCCGCTTTGGATTCCTCAAGGCCTTGCAGCCTTTCTTCACCTGGTAAGCTTAGTCTATGTCACACCGAACATAAAAAGTTACAAACTCCACTCTCCCTGCATTTCCCATTATTTGTTGCCCTATAACAGGCCTAACTTGAAGGCCAATGACGCCTCTGTAGAGACTTAGTCAGTTTTGCATATTATTTTCTCAGCTCTTTTCCTATCATCCTGATGAAATATTTAGTTTTCTTTCGCCTGCTTCACTTTGTGGCATGACAGTTCACAATTTTCTTCGTCGCCTATATGCACTGCTACTAAGTACATATCAGTCTTACTTTTGTTAACCAGTCCTTTCAGCTGCTTAGGAACGTCGTGGTATATGAAAGCATGTCCTTAATAACCGTTTGATTATCCGCATACAAGCATTTTCCTTCTTTGTAGGCCTACTCACACCAAGAGCTCTGCAAACTGCAAAGCATCTCCTACCAGGCATTTTGGAAATATATTTGGGCATAAACAGAGCTTTTTCTATTAATTTGAGTTTTTTGCTTTTACTACTTGACCATTTTGTAGCTGCCAGAAGATTTCCGATAGTCAAATAGTCAGGTACTGGGCAGTGTATTTTGTTTAAGTTCACGATCACCCGCGGATTTGAATTGTATATCTTCACAGTGGTAACAAACGAACTGTTTTTAATTACAAAACTTCAAGCTGATTAACTGAAAGTCGTCTGGAGGCCTGAAGATAGTGTCATTTGTTATTTGCATATTTCTTATAATAAATTTCTCTTAAAATTTTCAAGCAAAGACGCACAGCAATAGCAAAGAATATTTTAATTATTTTAGCATTAAAACTATTAAAAAGTCCAACTAAAACATGGCTGAACTAAATTTAATTATTCCCCAACTTCTGCAAAATATTTGCCTAAACGTTTGCGATGAACGATGGCGAAGGGAAATTAAACGTTGGGCCTCTAACCTTCTGTGATTCTTAACTTCTTAAGGGTGTTTTTTTCGACATCGAAAGATGATTTCAAGCACTTCTTGCACAATTCAGTACCGTTAGTCAGCTGTAACTCTCTGAATATTAACTTATAAGGTGTCAACTGCCTCAGGCTTATATCCGTGAAATGCGACTTTACATAACCTCACTTAAGTTCAACGATGTTGAATTGCATGATCTTGGAGCTCACGCGCTGGCCAAAAGTTTCCTTCAATAAATTGATTTTATCTGTCGTCTTCATCAATATCCTCCGAATCCAGGCACGAATAGTCATTAATCGTGACTCTATAGCTTTTCTCATTGCCTGTACCATTATATACCAATTCGTTTTCGAGATATAAGCCAATGATTTCATTTACCCATAGAGTCCACCAAACCTTGGCTTTTTGAGGGTGTAACGTCGTCCCAACAATGGATTGTAATATATCATATCCACTGTTCCGGGGTTAATCTACATTTTATGAAATGGAAGACCAAAAAAGTATTGCCCAACTGAAGGCCACTCGGCTAAAAAACCACTCTCATTTTAGTCCCGTTTTTACTACATTTCGTTGAAACGCACAACTCTTTGTTAAAATATGTGAGTAAAAATCTGCTTTTCAAACCTCAAACTAAGAATTTCTGTACTTATTCTCAATAATTATGGCACACCAACTTTCTCTGGGACCAATTTCGGTCAAGCAATAAAATAAGAATTATCCTGATCGGACTAAGAAAAAGGTTATGATTTGTCATATTCAGAAAACATACTTAAAGTAAAAAACTGTTTTGAAAAAATCTTTAAAGCGATAATCTAAACATTCACGTCTTAATCTCGCAACGATTCAGAAAACAATCACACTCGTTCCTACATATTTTATTTATCTTGCCATTTTCTATTTCAATCCTGTTAATTGTACTTTTGTGCTTCTTCCACTTCAAGTGAAACTAAACTTATACGTGTCATGTGAATGTTACTAACACAACAACAGTTTTTGTCTAACTCTAAGTTATATAGAGGCTTCCTATGTAAAATGACCACATAAAGTGTCATGTCAGTCCTTCTAACATTTGCCATTTCCGGTTTATTGTGCCCACGT